ATAAGAGAGAAAAACAACCAAAAAATACTAATCAAATGCATAATATCCAATGGTCTTATTTTTAGAGTAAATATACCAGTACCCGCTCAAATTGTTTTGTCTTTTTCAGATCAGTTTTTGTTTTGTGTAATGATATATTAATTTCTTATGATAAGTGCTGACAGAAGAGACTGTGAATGTTTTTATCCATTGGACCAATTTAAAATTCCACCTTTATAATTTACTTTATGAATTATTTAGTGATTGCATTCAGTTTTAAGCTTCATTTGTTCCAAGATAGATCATAGTTTTCATTTTAAATCAGGAGTCGGCATCCTTGGCTTTATTGCTCAGTTAATATTTTAAATGATGAGTATTGACCTGTTTTTTTTGCTTTTTTTAGTTCGTTTTTCTTCTGTTCTGTGGCCCCATGAAAAAACACTGACCCCAGTCTGGCGCCCCCCTTGTACATATTACCTACAAACGACACTGAGAAGAAGACACAGCAGATAATCATATTTAAAATACACTTTACATTTACATTTCATTCAGGGTATGAGATTTTTAACTGCACAGTATTTTTTTCTTTTTTTGGTGTAATCTTTTCAATTTCTAGCTGCTAAATTACCCCACTGTTGGAAAAAAGAAATAAAGAAAATATAAATAAAATAAATTAATTCTAAAATTTGTTTATTTTGAAAAAGTTACTGACAGTTAAGTTTTACTTTAAAATAAACAACATAAAAAATTTAAACAGCATCTTTCATGTTTTATCAAAAATATAGAAATATCAACTCTGATTATCTTTTTTAAATTAACATTTCTTTTAATAAAAATATCTAAAATGATGGCCGGTAAAATGTTAAAAGCTAGTTTAAACAAACGGTTTGTTTTAGCTAGCTTCTCAGATTAGCCGAGCCTCTGACGTTAAACCCTCTGCTGCCACCATCAGGACAAACTTCAGCACTGCAGCTTTACAAATAAATCCAACCCCATCTCTGGAAGTGTTGCAGAAATCAACTGATGGTTCTTTGTTTTACTTTTCCAAATGTATTGTTCAACTCAAAGTCGACTCTAAAGTCTATCTGATTTCGAGTTAAATAAAAAATTGTCCATTTCCTTTAACAACCAGCTGAAAACAAGGCACTGGTGTACAACATAACATATTTACCATTTGACGAGCCCAGGTATACATTGCTGGCAGATCCTCCTTGTCGTGTGAAGTCAGCTCTAACAGAATGACAGTTAAGGTTTATCCCCATCATCCTCTATGGGTGTTTACATTTAAATATGATTGCTATGCTTCCATCACATCTCAATGACTACTCAGCCAGTACAGGTGCTTTATTTATTTTTTTTTTACCTAGAGTTAACAAACAAATTCAATTAAATATCAATGTTTTTCATTCTTATTTTATGAATTCAGGCAGGTAGAGACCAGATGTTACCCTGCTTTGAAAGCCATTTGTGGATTACCCTGATGGGACATAAAGTCAGTAAAGAGCTGGGTCTAAATTTTGGGGAGGCCACTGTGTGAAAGCTGGTTACTTCTAAGGGGTGTAGAGGTGAACTTGCTGTATTGCTTTGGATCACTAACCACTTAACTACGCTGGAGCCTTTCATTGTTCCATTAATCACAGCAAGTTGTCCAGTTGTTTTCAGTTGAAATATACTTTACATATATATATATATATATATATGTGTATTTATACTAGTGCTGAAACAAATATTCATATTAATTGATTTTGAAATAACCGTCAAATAATTTAGTAATCGATTTTTAACTGGAGTAGAGGCTGCAAAACATGCCTTTTTCTGAAAGAGTAACAAAGTTAAAGCAGTAGTTACACCAAATCTGTAGAAAAAAAAATGTGTAAACATTTGCATTCAAGATAAAAATGTTTTTTGTCTGTCAATATTCTCTATCCAGAATTCCTCAAGTGGAAAAGATTTAGTTTTACTTGGTTTGATTTCATAAAAATTCTTCTTTAAGGAACCTTTTACTATCAGATTATTAATTGAAAAAAATAATCAACAAATCATTTTGTAAAATAATTGTTAGTTGCAGCCCTAATATATATATATGTATATATATATATATGTATATATATATATATATATATATATATGTATATATATAGTGGCTCTTTCAACAGCATAAAAATTGCAGAATATTAGACTTCCACCACCACCTTTGACTGGAAGTATCTTTTTTTTTTTTTTTTGTAGTTGTGTATTAAACAATAGATCTACTATCTAATTTTCACCAAATTCACCTTTTGTCTTTTCAGTCCACAGAACTTTTCCCACAAGACAGCTTGGATCATCAGAATGTTTTATAGGAAATGTGAGATTTCCCTTTGTGCTATATATGAACGGCAATGGTTGCCGTTTGACCTCTTTTCTGGAAGGCACTGTTGCCCAATATCTTTTTCATAGTAGAACACCGACCTTACCTGAAGTAAATGAGGCCTGCTGTGCTTTAAATGTTGTCCTAGCTCAAGTGCACCATTAGATGGATACTAATTATCATCCCTTTTTTCAAAATTTCTAACATCACAGAATGATAACCTGCTTTTTTAGGATATTTTGTGTGTAAACCTTAAAGTACAACCTTAAATAATAGACAATGGTGGTAAAAACAGAGCTAAGTCATCAGCATTCACCATAAACCACAAGCTTTTTTATAAACTGTATAAATATTATGAATCAATATGATACATAAAAGTTGACGCCACATTTTATAAATTGTTTAATTGGTCTAATCTGATCTTTATTAATCATATAACTTCAGGTAGAGCAGCAGGAACTAAGCCGTAAAATCTCTCCAGTCCTGCACACATCTGGAGAATCTGCAGCATGTTTATTATTATAAATCCTGATTGCACATGAATCATCTAAGGTAGAAAAAATTTTTTTTTCAAATGTAATGATAGAACTTTCAGTTCTTGTTACAGGAACTGTGAAGATAAAAAGAACCCCTCATGATTTCAGCTATTTTTTAAATCTTCTTTTGGGGTATCTTTTGAAATAATGTGCAAGAACTTACAGCAACTTGATTCAAGTCATTGTGATTGGAGTCAGAGCAATGTGTTTTTAAAAATCATAAAGTGGCCTTTTGGATTTATTGTCACTGGCTGCTGTTAAAGGAGTGTTGATAGAAGATTTTTGCATTGGCGTCATAATCCATGTGGATTGAGGAGCCTAAATGCTGAGCGCCGAGGCTGGCACCTCCGAGGGCAGAGGACTGCTGCAAAAACAGAAGGCTGTAGCCCTGAAAACGCCCCTTCAAGCCGGCAGACGATGCAGCCTTCCCCATGACCTCTGTGAACCCTGAAGAGAGAGAGAACACAAAAATCAAACTGTAGATTTTCAGAGAATATTTAAGTGTATCTGAGCTTCAGTAACAGAGAGACAGACCAGGCTTCAGCAGGGACCAGCTCTTCCACACAGAGCCCACACACAGGATGGGGACGCCCCGTTCACCACTAAATAAGGACTGGAAAGAAAGACAGAAGAGAAACATTCATGTGAAATTATATGCAATAAACAATGTATGTTTTTTTAATTATAAATACAGAAATATTTGAAAGTATCTAAAATACTTTGGGTATACTATTCTACAAAGAATAAAGGAATAGAACTCACACCCATTCAGTTTTTGCCAAATGTTTCAAGCTAAGTCACAATATATATAGGGAAGGCATGTGAGGTACTTTTACTCAATAATTTGAAGATGTGTAATTTTTATTTTTTATTTTATCTTAAAAAGCTAGAAAAAACATCTAGTTACACAACCTCTATTTTATTTCTCTCTACAACTTCAAGTTCCCAGTTTAAATGCAGAAATACTTATAAATTAAAATGACCATACATGAGGAGCGACTTTAACTGGACCATTAGAACACGTGAATACGCCTTGTTCTAAACCGTTTCATTGGAGCTCCGTTTGTAGGAAGTTTCCAGGATGTCCTTCCGACTATCAGTAAGAAATTAACTGATAAAGATTTTTTTAAAGGCCCATTTCAACAAAAAGTCTAAAAGACGCCCAATATGCGCTGACGATTTTTGAAGCCCCTATTGCTTTTTTCTCTACAAAATTATAAAAAAAAATCAAAAAAAAATCTGTGTATGAACAAAAGAGAAGCATTTATTGACAAATCAAATGAAACATTAACAATGGAGAACAAAAGATCCCAAAACATGGCAGCTGAATACACTTATGAATCGGCCAACGGATGCGCGGGTCGATATAAAAAATATCTATATCACAATTTTAGGTTCTAATATCGATATCACGGTTATTATGATTACAACCAGAAAATGATCTAAATGCAGAGGTTTGCTGGGAACTACTTTTCGTTCCGCCAGGTGAATGCGTAATGCTTCAGTATGTTATGCCAAGAATAGCATGCTGCTGCAGCTTAGTCACTTCCTCTCTTCAATAGAAGTTGTAGCGAAACAACCTCCTGAAACACCTCCAGTTAAATGACAACATAGAATTCGCTGAGTTCATGATGAGTTGGAGGGAGGAGGAGAGCACCATATGCAGGGCTGGACGATATGACCTTAAAAGGTATCACCATATTTTGTTGTACCAATGCACTGTTGCCTTGACACACACTGGAGCAACACACCCTCTGTAGGGCTCGATGGTTCATGGGAGTTTGCCTCTACTGGAGAAGGCATCAGACAAATTTATTGTTCAGACGATCAATCTAAAGTGTTTTCATGGCTAGAAATTGATCTCCATAGCGATAAACGATAAGATAAATGCCCCCCTGCACTGTTACTGTCTAAGTGGTTAGTATTAATTAGAATTTTTACTAAATAAGGAGAAACAACAAGCCCAATGCGTGGCAGTGGCAGCATAGTGACACTTCCGGTGGCTCGTTTACTTGATGGAACGAAGTAGTTCATCTGCCAAAAAGTGGCCAGTGGCCCCAGCCACTTATTACTAGATGAACCGGCAGATTAAAGTCTGGAAGGACACCCAGACGGTCACGCTAGTGGGAGATGCCAGCAGAGACTGTCCCCCTAGTGGCGGGTGCCACTGGCCACTTATTGGCAGATGAATTCCATCAAGTAAATGTGACTTTATAAAAGATTTAATGCAGTTTACTGAGCAATAACATCACAACATTAAAACAACAATCTACTAAGAGGTACTTTAAGTAAATTCTTTGCCAAAAAACGGCTTCTGCAGCAGCGGAAGCGGTGTTAGTAAACGTGGAGCCGATCTGGCACGCTGTCAGCCCAGTGGCTGCTGCCAGTAATACGCCGTGCCAGACAGTGCTAAAGCAACGTCAGCCCAACAAGCCACCACAGGTGTCACAACGCTACCACTGCCACAAATTAAAGATAAAAATGCATTAAACAAATGCAGTCAGCTTGGAGCAGAGTCTATTACTATGGTAATCTTACACAGGTAGAAAGGCTCGAATGAAGTCAGACCTCCGAAAGAATTAATAAATTAAACCGGATTATATTAACTAGATAGTTATAAAAATAACAGTTTATAAAATGGATCTTTTGTTGATCAAATCAGTCCAATTTCCCTTAACTGTTTAATTCATATTTCAGAATGTATAAGTTAAAAACTTTGTACAGTAATAGTGATATTTATTTCAACGGTCATTTCACGCACTATGTGAAAATGGTGGTTCTTTTTGTGCACTTAGCAAGTACATCAGGTGTATTTGCACAAAGTATCAGTATTGGAATCACCAAAACCAGCCTGTATTTTAAACAGTACCAGATTGGAGAGGGTATTGGTGATATTGAACATCACTAGTATTAGACAAAGCAATCAGAAAAGGAAAAAACAAACAAACAAAATACACCAAAATTGGTACAAAATACCCGCCGGCTGATCTACTGGTCTATATCTATTATTGGTATGAATTAGGTCCCCACAACATGATACTTCCCTACCATGCTATACACTATTTTAGACCTCCTGTAGCTTAAGTTTAATAATATATTTCAACAATAGTATTTCTTAGGTCTCCAGCTCCCCTTTTTACACACAGCTGGTCTGAATTTAATAGTTTAGTGACTTCTACAGATAATTGGTTCCTTGAAAGTAGGAAATAAACATTATTAAATGAAAAGCAATGAATCCATTTCCTCCCTCTTTTTAAAATAACATACCAATCAATGAAAACCAAACAAAAAGTCAACAAGTTGGTGATTTTTATCTGACTTAATGCATATCATGTGACATTTGTTGTATGTGCTCTGTTGGTTACCTCTTGTGCTGCAGGTAGCACGGCCTCTACATGTTTAGCCAGGACTCTCCCTGCCTCGGCAAACACATGCTGGCAGAGAGCATCTCCGGCTTCTGCACCTTTGATGCAAAAATTTCACCTGCTTCAATCAAACAAACAGAAAGAAAAAAAAAACCTCCAGACAGGAAACCAAAGTGCTAATTACCTTCAGACAGCTTTTTGCAGAAACCAGCAAAGAACGATTTCTGGAAGTTTCTGTACAGATGTGGCAGCATTCCCATCAGATCAGACACCTGGGGTGAATGAGGTTTTATTTATTGACTCGCGCCACTCTCACGCTCTCAGTAAACACTGATGATCTCTGCTGACCTGGAAGTACTCCTCCATGGCTTTTCTAACATGTGTGATGTCATGAGGCGGCGCCACCAGGTTGTCTTTGGCATCGAACACCGTCTTCACGGCCAAATGAGCAATCCAAAAAGCTGAGAGGCAGAAGGAAAATAACTAAAAGTTGATTTTTTTCCCCTATAGCAACAAAGAGCTAAATCTGAATTAATCGCAGTTACCCGATCCTTCATCTCCCATCAGGTGACCCCAGCCTCCGCAGCCGATCTGTGAGCCGTCAGGGTTGACCAACTTGCAGTTTGAGCCGGTTCCTGATATCAGGACTATACCACCTGGACAGGAGACACATAAACAACACTGGAGATAATAGTGGGCCATAAACAAGCTGAGACGACACTCCTAGGTGGATGATAAAGGGTAAAGTATCACTCTTTAGCTTAGAAATGTACGTGCATTGAAAGCAGAACAAACTGATCAGAGGAATTGTAACCTGTAAAATGCATGTGAAACACTTTGATGTACATCTAATAAACACCCAATTAAGAATGCACGCTTATTACCTTGTTGTAACTAAATGCAAGCTAAATTCTATGCAATACTGTGTTTTAATTAGGAGATGAAGGTCCAACTCAAGTTGTTTTGCTTTTCAAAGGTCAACGGTTAGTATGCAGAAACCTGCAGAAATGCAGGACTTTGTTGATTTGGAGCTGTGATATGAGACATAATTAATGATCTTAGGTAATAAAATGGTAACTAATTAGGATGGAAATGATTACACAGAGTCTGGAAATTGATCTGGTTGCCTTCCTGGTCTGGATCAGCTTAGAAAATGGGGGAAAGTGTCACACTTTCAGATTTAACTGCCTATTCTGTTGTTTAAAAGGGAGGTTTTCATTTCAGGCCAACCGTCCTTCCTTTGTTTCTCTTCCTCCATTCATTCCATGTGTTCTATCTCTCTTTGTTCCTTTCCTTCCTTGGTTCCTCCTTTCTTACTTTTTTTATTTCCATCCTTTCCACAAATACATCCACCCTCTCTATTGTCTCTCTCCTCCTTTCTTGTCCCCCCTTCTATCTTTCTTTTCTTTCTTTTATCCTTTTCCTTTGCTCCCTAAACAGTAAATTCAGACCAGTATTTCATTACCTATCCAAACCTGAATGGGACATTTACCTCGATCACTCGCCGTTGCCATGGCACCGATCGCGTCTGTGGTGATGAAGTAATCCTGGCTTAGATGTGGGAACCGTCTCTTCATCACGGCAATCAGGTTGTCGATTGCGTCCTTCTGCTCACCCCCACTCAGAGACATACCCTTCACATAAAAACAGAGAATTATAAATTTCTAACTAAAATTACAGGGAATCTGTTTGGCAACCGCCTGACTGACCAGACAGCGCAGCGCTGTGTTTGGGTCCAGTCCTGCTGCGATCTTCGCTTGCTGGACCATTTCGTTGATGGTTTCAAGACATTTATCCACCCCGATCAACTATGTTAGGACACACGTATATGAGTTAGTAGCAAACCGATGGACAGTCGTTTTAAAAATAAATCAATGTTATTCTAATTTAATAATCTTATACTAAAAACTGTCATTTAAATACATTTTACATACATGTAAACATATATTTTATCACCTTACTTAATAAAAGAGGTATATAAAAAAAAAAAGCAAATAATAATTCAATTACTGAACATAACTGATCTCACACCGGAGAAATTAACTCTCTACATTTAACCCATCCTCTTGGGGAGCAGTGGGCTGCCATTGTGGGTGCCCAGGGAGCAGAGTCGGGTTAAGGGTCTTGCTCAGGGACCCAGAGTGGCAGTCTGCAGGAGTTGAACTCATAACCTCTGGCACCTAAGCACAATGCTAGGCCACCACCCCCCATTCTATACTATAGATACTCTAAGCAAGATAACATAAACAAGTTTATTGATAAAATTAAAATGCAATTAATCCTTACATAACAAAAAATACTTTGTCGGTTTATATAAAATTACCCAAATCTCACCTCAAATAGAAAAAAACAACAAAAGAAACTATCAAAATTTGATTCCTAAGCTACCCAATTATTGCTGCACACTGCGTATCAGCTTGCTGAAAGACAGGTTAACAGACCTGAGTTTACATGAACAGCCAGGGTGCTGAGAGTGAAATAGCACCACTCATCACTCCAAGGACAATGTCGTTGCAGTGTGAGCAGAATATCTATGACCTGATAAGGCAGCCCGACTATAAAACCAGCTTGTTTTAAATGCAGTTTTACTCTATAAGATGCAGAACAACAACGAAAGGCATATTAGGGGCTACTACCACTTGAAAAACAGTATTATTAATTTAGAATGTGTTTATTCTAAAACCGTCTTTTTTATTTATGTATTAAAAACAAGGTAGAGATGAAACTATAATGATCAGAATCTAAATTAGGTAAACTTGCAGGGTTCCTACAGCATAAGGCAAGTTAAATCCAAGACTTTTTAATGCAGCTTAACATTAGTTGAATAAACTTTTGGCTCTAAAAATGTATCGGTGCCCTATTTGTCAGTACTCGCTGATACCGATGCTACCATTTTAGTGCTGGATCGGGGCCCTGTCCGATACTGGTATTAGTGCAACACTATTTGTAACAACTACTGAACTGAATTCTCCAAACATTATCCTGAGATTTGGTTCTACTGGTGCTGTTGGTGATGAGAGATGCTGTGGAGGCGTTGCAGAGACAAGGGTCAGAACAGAAAAATACCTGCTGCTTCTCCATCACTTCATTTTGACGCTTTGAGTTTCATGCTTGAAACATGTGTCTCCACTGCTTTGATTCCCATTATGCTTCATCTACAATCCCTGGCAGTGGTTTTAGCCATGCAGAAAACTCTTGGATGGATAGCTTATTTTTCATTGAATATAAATTTCCCCATTTTCCAGATAAAAGTTAGTGGCACATCACCCCAAGGTCTGGTAGCAACATCTTTTTTTATTGGTTCCACTATCAGGACGGAACCATGTAAGAAAATTAAAGAGATTATTTTAATGCTTGATATAGATTACAAAAATAAAATCCTATTTATGATGTGGTAACAATTTTAAGATCTATGAAAGACTGATTTAAGATATTTTAATGCCAATTAAGGTCTTGATTTTATATTGAAGAAATCAATGCCTTTTAAGACTTTTTAAGGATCTGCAGGAACCCTGACTTGGCCTATGAACCCTGATGTTTATCTGCACCTGTGCTTCTTCTCACCCAGTGGTTGGTGCAGGGTCCCACTGCCTCTCCCAGCACCTTCCCATCTGCAGACAGCAGCACAGCCCTGGAATGAGTCCCTCCACTGGATGGAAGACACAACACAAAATTAATACACAAATTAAGACTCCACTGACATGAATACACCTAAAAATAAAAATAAACCCAGTGAAGCAGTAAAGATACAATATGTAGTGAGTTTATGTACATTTTCCTTTACACTTAGTTCACATTAGCCCTGTATAGACAGGCGGGGCGAAATGATCACGAGATTTACGCTTCCGTGTCAGAAAAATCATCTATATTTATTTTGTATTCTTATATGAAAACCTAAAAAAACATTAAAAAACACACGGAATTTAAATTCCCGCAGAGAAATGTATTTTAAAACTAAAGTGCATTGTGTTTCGTTTGATATTTTAACTTTTTTCTTACCCTTCTATTCCTCCGAACACTGTTGCCATGTTCCTGTTTTGGTCAGCTGTACTCGGCTCCAAATCTCGCGAGATCCATAACACGGCTGCATGCAATGCCGCATTAATTCCACTAGATGGCAGCGCTGTGTTATCTTGTGAGTTTACAGATTTTTAATGGCTCAATTTTTAACTGTGTGGGGTATCTGTTCTGTTTGTACGGAAGAGGATTAGGGCCACTGACAAAAAATAGAAAAAAGTTAACTGATTTTTACATTTTATTTTAGTTTAATATGGGAAAAAAGTCTGAATTCTGAGATTAAAGTCAGAATTCAGAGAAAAAAGTCTGAATTCTGAAATTAAAGTCAGAATTCTCAGAAAAAAAGTCAGAATTCTCAGAAAAAGGTCAGAATTCTGAGCTTAATGTTGGAATTCTGAGATTAAAGTCAGAATTCTGAGGAAAAAGTCAGAATTCCGAGAAAAAAGTCAGATTTCTGAGATTAAAGTCAGAATTGTGACTTATATCCCATGTTAAACTAAACAAAAATATAAAAATCAGTTAACTTATCCTCTTCTGTATGTTTTTAATTAACTATTTAGACAATTTCTCACTTTAGGACATTTAAACCCGTTGCAAAGATAGGACACTGAAACTTGGGGCTTGTTTGAAGGAAAAATTGCAGTCCCATTGGAAAATAAAATAAACACACTAAGTATATTGACTTTGTTAACAGTCGAGTTTATTGACACATAAGTTTTTCAATTTCTGTCAAGGAAAAATCAGTTGGATTTTCTATGAGTTAAATATACATGGAGTTAAAAGGGATGTCTGTTATCCACGTTTGTACCATGAGAGTTAAAATCAGTACCCTAATCCAAATGCCTGATCCGTTATGAATATAAACCTAAATATGGAGGCCGTGGTACTCTCTTCTGTCCAGTCTCTGATTTTAGATGTTTATCCTAATATGGTTTAAACAAAGCTAATTCTCACTAACACAAAAAAAAAAAAAAAAAATCGTATAAAACGTTCCGGCCTCAACTCAGACTCATCGTTCAAGAATCCTTATCTAGTGTCAAAATAATGTCAATAAGATTGATCACTGTTACTGTGCTGTCCAACAGGAACAGGAGGCATCTGCAACATATTAATATCGTTGGGCAGCTCCACTTGCCAACACACACTGCTTAATTTGAAAATTCCTGCATTTTTCCCCAAATCAAAACGCATTTCTTTTGGCCGCAGCAGCATTTCTACAGCAGTGGGGAATTACGCACAAGGACAAACCTTTTGGCTTTCTGTAAGGTTCAGATGCCCTGCTGGGGTTTTGCTTTTATTTTTAACATCAGATGAGAGTAAGACTGTCTTAGTTTTGTTTTGACCCAAATAAAGAGCAAAAGAAACAGTGCTGATTGGAGTTTAGGCAAACGATTAGGTAGAAAAGTGAGTGTGTCGGAGGTGAAATCAGAAGAAGTTACACAATAGTGAGAAGGTGGGTGGAGGGAAGTAGCAGAGCATGCTGTTTCTGCTGCTGCTCACACTCCTGCTGCAGGCAGAGATATTAGTCATGCTATATGCAACAAGATGATACCAGATATGGACACACAGTTCTAAATAAGAGTCTTTTTCAGGCACTAGTCTTTGTCGTTTGTGATTGCAGGTTAATCAATGCCACATTTCACCATGACGTTGTTCCCCAAAGTGATACTTTTATTTTTTTTAACCTTTGCTGATGTGGTTCATAGTATCAGCTGACATGGAAGTCTGGCCAAATGCATTGAATCATTTATCCTGCCACCTCTCAATCCGAGAAAATCTCGGTGACATTGGAGAGGAACCATTCCCTTTTAAAGGGAAGAAAGCTCCATCAAAGCCGGGTTCATAGTGAGAGTACTTCTACCACAAGGGGCTGGGGAGGTACGCTGAGAAAACACAGAGGCCCTGAGCTAAATAAAAACAAAGATGGTTAAAGATAGTAGGATCATTAGCCACAATGACGGCTCCATACAGGAAAGATAGAGGGACTGACAAACACTAAATCAATGGATCAATATTGTAATGACATTATATTGTGAAGCACTGAGCCATGGGTACTTTCTATGCTTAAGGTTAGTCAAAGAGAATAAAGGAAACTGGGCAATAACTCAGTCAGTGGCTTCATTTCGTCCTGGCGAGAAACACAGCTACTATACAGTCACTAGATAGATAGATAGATAGATAGATAGATAGATAGATAGATAGATAGATAGATAGATAGATAGATAGATAGATAGATAGATAGATAGA